ATTTGTGCAATTCATGTTATAAAAAACATATTTTAAAATGAAATTGAAGTAAAAATAGTTTTCCGCCTATTTTTCACTGCTGCGGTGGAATTCGGAAAAATCGCTCAAACGCGTATTTAGGGTTTTAACATGTAAAGTTTTATAGTTTAAGCTTAAAGCCAATTAGTCAGTTAGGGTTTTAGGAAGTAAGTCAATCAATCAGAACGAGTAGTATTGTATATACTTAGATGGCTTGGGTCTTATCTTTAGACTTTTAAAGCATTTTCAGTGTTCCATCTTCTCATATTTAATGATATGGAATCTATTTAAAATGTTTTGAATTTTAAACTAACAAATTTAGCGAAATTGTAAAATACATATTGTTGTAAGCGTTGTTCAAACTATTCATGAGGGTTTTACTTATATATATTTTTTATTTAAAAAGAAAACACCTAAAATAATTCACTTGCGAAATATTAATTAACTAATTCGTAAGAGTATCTGGGCTTTAGCTGAGCTGCTTATTTATTTTTTTTTATCTTGATTTGTTGTTATTGTTGTTGTGATTGTTATTGCATCGTCTGCCGCAATGTCTCCGCTTTGCTGACGCCGTCGCCGTCTTCGACTGCGTCTCCGCTGTGGCTGCCACACGCTTGGAGAAGTTGTACGCTGAGTGTCGCAGGAGCAATGCTGCCCGGCTGCACGGGTGCCCGGGTGCATGGGAGCATGGGTCTAAGCATGAGCATGGCATGTCATTTCTTGGCTTCGCCAAACATCTTTGGCATTCCTGAAGTCTCTAGCTCTGGCATCTGCTAAGTCTCATTTTCTCTGGCTGTCTCTTTGTCTTTCTCCAGCTGCGATTGTGTTCCTCATTTTACTTTTGCTGCAGATATTTGCAATGAAGCATGTTTTGCATTTAATTTATGCGCGTAATTAGTTGAAAGTGAATGCCAGTAGTAGTAGTTGTAATAGTTGTATTCGTTGTAGAAGGTGCCGCATATTGCGTATACGCGCCGTGCAACAGTTGCCGCTACAGAATCAATTGCGTATCTCGCAACAGTTGGCAGATAGATGCCTGTGGTCAATGCCTATAAATTATTTGAACGCTTTAGCTTTTCTTTTTATCGGGGGCGAACAAAAGCAGCTCATTATTTGTGAAAAACGCGCCTGTCAAAATTGAAAATAGGGAAAAGTTAAAGAAATAAACCAAAACAATGGTAGGCAGCAGCCAGCAGGCAGCAGCAGCAGCAGCAAACAGTCAACAGTCAACAGCGACAGCCAACAACAACAGCAACAACAAAAATAATAATAACAACAACAACAACAACAGACATTCAGTCCATTAGCAAATGCCGCCGTTGAGTGGCAGCCATGGATTGGATGCAGCCAGCGACGCCACCGCCGCATAATGAAAGCGAAAATTTAAATTTTTGATACAATTTGCAATTTTTTCCTACTTCATCATTCACATCACCAGCAGCGGCAACAACCAGGCTCCAACTTCAACTGTAGTTGGCAGTCAACAAGTCGACAAAGAAAACAATTCATCATGTTGTTGTAGATTGGAGGAACCTTTTGGCAGCTACGTTGGAGCAGCTACGTTGCCTTCAATTTATGCGGCGGCGCTTAAATCGATTGCTTTGCCACATTGCAACAATTGGCTAGCATGCAGCTTGCAGCTTGCAGCATGCAGCGAGGCTCTGCTGCATCGTGGGGCAACGAACAAAAAACAAAAAAAAAAGCGGATCGCTGCTGAACCGTAAAACTGAATTATGTTGCCGGCCGCAGAGAGCTGCGGCGGGCGAAGACTTTGACGTTTTGCGGGTGGATAAGGCCTGACGACTGACCACAACCACAGAGTCAGTGCCAGTGCCAGTGCCAGCGCCAGCTCCAGCTTCAGTCCTGGACCAGACTTTGCAGCCTGTCCACAATTGCCAGCGCCATGCCGCGCCGCGCCGCTTCATTAAGCGATTCATTCATGCAACTGATGCAGCCGATCCAGTCGATCGTGTCGTTTTATTTGGCTCTTAAATTTCTGCGCTAACTAGATGTCGCAATTGAAAGTAAGCTGTCAATATTGCAGCAATTGGTGGGGGCTGTAACTGCGCAAAGGCCACGTTGATTCTTGACCAATACAAAGTCAATTATACAACAGTCAGCTGTCAGTTTACGCTTGGCCAGCATGTTAGCCAAATGCCTGAAGCAATTTCTTCTTGAGAATGAGAATATAATCTCTGAAATTGTACTGAATTTCTGTATATTTAAGTTCTTATTTTCTAGCTAAGGTCAGTTTACGCTTGGCGAACATGTTAGCCAAATGCCTGCTGGCAATTTCTTCTTGGGAATGAGAATATAATCTCTGAAATCTTACTGAATTTCTATATATTTAAGTTCTTATTTTTTAGCTAAGGGTATTCATTACTTCTTTTGCAAAGGAAGGATTGAAGATTTCATGACTGGAAACTCAAATGTATATGTTCTCTGTCTGCATTAAAAGCCGTCTTAATATATTCATGTCCGTCTATTCGTCTATCCACATATATGTTCCTAAGCAAACTAGTCTCTCGGAGTCCTTGGTTAAGTATAGAAATATTTTGCAATTTTATTATATATATGTTTGCAAGGGTATTTTATTTTCGGCAACCCAGAGACAACTATTCCGTCTTCTTGTCTTTTATATATTGTGAAACCCGTGACTGATCTCATTTTAACAAAAGAATAATAGAGTGTGAAGAATGTATACTTTAAGCGAATTTCAAAAAATGAATAACAGATCATACAGAAGTAGACCAAGCAGATTTCATTCTTATGTCAATGAGCAAGAGATCAGGGACAGATCTATTCGAAATAAAAAAAAAAAAAAGAAACCCCATTAGAAAGTTTCTGTTCGCATAGGCAAATTAGCAAGGCCTTAGCATAAAGCTAGTTTCAAATATTCGTACTCATGATCTCACGATGTCGGCAGAACTTGAACTCCTAACTCATAGTTCCATCAGCTTTTAAATTTAGTTGCTTTAACCGCAAGGCTTTATTTTTAGCACCTCGAAGGTCATTAAAGGACATTGTTCAGTTGATTTCCTCAATTGTTCAACTTGAAAACTCTCGAAACTCGAATTCATATTCAAATTCAAGCGCAACTCGAAGTCATGTGCAAATTTAATTACTGACTCAGCGGCCGGACAAAACCCAAGTATGAGTTAGGCCCGGGGCTCTAAAAGCCAAATAGACATACAAAAAGTTATTTTTACTGGCATATCTTATGCAAATCCCAATGTTGGACAGCTTATTATTAATAGTAATAATTGATGTAGATTTTTTAGCACCTTTTTTCGGTTGGTTTCACCGATTTATAATGTTTGTGATTTGTAAGACAAACAGAAACAACAACAACTGAACGGGGCAGATAAACAAAAGCCAAAAAGCCGAAATTCACAGAGCTGGCGGCACAGCTGGCGAATTCTCTTTCTCATGGAATGTGGTCAACGCTGTTGGTTGGCTTGGTTCGGTTCGGTTCGTTTTGGCTGGGTGTCTTTTGAGAAACGTGTTTTCTAACAAAGGCCGGCTCTTAATGGGTCGACAAATAAAAGTATAATAAATAAATAGTAAAAGGAAAATGCGTAAAGGGTCGGGGCAAAGATCGGCTTTGGCCAACATCGACTTACACCACAATACTACGACACTTGATCTGGCCAAAATGCCAACGCGCTGAGAATCGAATTGTGGCTCAAAACGTGGGCGATGAGATCATCGCCATTTAATTGGCTGCGACTTTGACTTTGCCTTTTACAACTGCACAGCCACAGTGAAGCACCGAGAGTGCGGCCCTGTCTCTTGCTTCTTGCTGCTCTCCCTCAACCCAAAAACTCTTTCTCACCGCGTGCTTTTTATGGCCCTGGCGCGCGCATTGACCGAATTCGGAAGATGAATGTGCGACAAATGCCAAAGATAAGCGACTGGCAACGCGACACGAATCGGAAAATCGTGTAAAATCTCACAAGCTCCTAATCTGATAATTGTTGATGTAAATTTCTAATGCTGACGCACAAATTTTCTGTGCCATTTTTCATTGCAGTTATTGTACCCTGTACAATCCATTGCAATTGGGTTGATTCAGGGTTTTATATTTTTGTGCAAATGTATGTAACAGGCATAAGTAGGCATATCTTATGCTATAAAGTATAATTAATTTTGATCCAGCCAGGCCTGCTAGTTAAATTTAAAACATACATTCTCATCTAACAGACGCAGAACGAGTTTATATATATTTTTTAAAGTCGTAGCAAATGTATTATGTTCGGACTATAAACACGGGAGTTTATCAAGATTGCTTTTCCCATGGTGTGGGGCTATGGGAAGAAGAAGCACTCCCACAGTATAAATTGCGCAACGTGCAATATGTATTCTTGTGTGTGCAAATACGCATTGTTGGGTACAGGGTATCACCTGGTCGAGTACACTCTTAACTTGTTGCTGTTTTTGTTTCATATGACAGTTTGCGCATTAAGGAAAAAGGCAATCGTTGATTGACATTCGTCGTACATGGCGTATGCGCAATTAAAGGTAATCTGCGTCTGGCATTTCCTAGCATGCAAATGGAATTCTAGATATATGTATGTAAAATCTGTAAAGCTTACATAAATATATGTTTTTTAGCCAAGCACATACATATATCTACTTTATGCCATAAAAAACAGTTGTAACATAAAGTTGCAGCTTTTGTTTTAATTATTCCATTTATAGTCATTAGTATATCCGGTGATTTGGGCAGGAAATGAGTAGCAACCGTTGGTGGGAGAGTTCAAATATCTTTTGTGCGAAACAGTTGCCAAAAATATTTCGCGTACCGTTAAGCTTGATTGCTAATGATGATGATGATGATAATAATAACTATAATATTAGGAGCATTTGTAGACAGCAAGACGTCGCGCTTATGATTATTTATAATACTTCTCATATTTTTGGCTCGCCTAATTGATTTTATAATCAAGGTTTTAATGCCGCTTCTCATTTTGTCATTTCAGTAAGCCGCAGCAAAAAGTCTCCACTCAGCAGCCAGCCAGGCAGGCAGGCAAAACTTCAAAGTCGAGACTCTCCAAACGTGTGCGAAAAAAAAACGCGAACCGCCAATGCAAACGCCACTTGCGCAGCCGAAGCAGCTCGCGTCGCTGTCAGTTCGTTGGCGCTCGTGCTGTGCGACAACAGCAGCAGCAGCAGCAGCCATCGTGAGAAGTAGCAGCAGCAGCAGCAGTGGCAGAGGCAGCGACAGCAGCAGCGCCAGCAGCAGAGTCGCATTAACAGTTGGCGCTCAGTTTGTTTTTGTCGCTCGGTACGTTCGGTTGCTACTCGCGCTGTGGCCAACATTTCTCAGCTGCGTCTCCGTCATTTCGTTCATTGCTTTCGTTTGCTGCGCGTGCGCCGCGTCGTTGCGTTTATTTGTTGTGTCGTCGCTTCAGCCCAAAAGTTCAAGCGAGTCAAAGAAAATGCCATAAAGCAAAGAGCAACAAAGTCGAAAACAAAAGTGTGCGAAAACAAAAATGTAACAACAACAACAACAACCAAACAACCAGCCAAACAACCAATCGCCCGACTGTTTAATACGAGTTTCGTTCTTGCTTCTTCCCAAAGTTCTTCTCTTGTTTTTCGTTGACCATTAAAAGTGAAGCTTTGAACGCACAAAAAAAAGTTGTAAGAAAAAAAAACCAACAACAAAAACAACAAACGAATTGAGCCGCCCCGCATCGTGGCTGCAACTTGAACTTCAGTCTCCGGTCTACGGTCTTCAGTCTCTCGGGCGCGTTTGGCGCGTCTCGTGTTATTTTTAGACAAAAAATCGCAATCGCAACGCAATGGGCACCAAGTCGCCCGGTGGTCCGCAGCGCTGTCGCCTCATACTGCAGCGCTGCCTGGCCATCCAGCTGAGCAAGCCGGGCCACACGCCCGAGGACTTTTGGATGTACGACTCGGGATATATGATATTTCAGGTGAGTTTGAACGAATGTTGCCACAGAAGAACTGCTAGCTGTGAACTGCGAACTGGTTTCTGGACACAACTGGTTGGCATGTCCACAGGCAAAACCACTGTCCACCGTCCGCTGTCCACTGTCCACTGTCCACTGCTCAGTTCGGGCGGCGCTTCAGCGCCCCAAAGTGCGTGAGGATGTTCGAGAATGAGAAATAGGGAGGCCGGGCATGTACACCTGAAAGCGTGATTCATAAAAGAGATTCGCAAGTTTTCGCTTAAAGTTTGAGCCCGCAGATATATGAAGATCGCTGGTTACGATAGCTCAGATAGCGAGAGAGAGTTGATCTTTGAAGGCTTACAATGTTTTGTTGCTTCTCAAAGCAATAAAAGAGTATGCAAAGCGAAGTTGAAATCGGATTAAAACTAAAAATAAGTATTTTAGTAGGAGTTGTTTTACACGTATGTTTATGTACTCATTTGTATGAAACTTCAGCTCAAGGTCGCCCTGTGTGTTGTTGTTTTCTTTTTTATGCATTGTGCGCACTTCCCATGACGACAAATGACTTGGAACGATGGAGCACAGGTTTTAGGTTGGGTGTTGCCATTTGCCAGTTGCCGTTTACACTAGAAATTACGGCAAATCTGTTGGCGTCATTCAGACTAGACAATCTGGCCAACTACAACTACAAGAAAAGCAACTGAAATATTTGCCTGCCACTGCAACTGCAACTGCACTTGGCAGAACTTTGGAATCCAGTACTTTGCTGGGGCCATCTACAGAAGACACAGCTCGTGGCTGTCTGTGCATGTTCTGTGTTTTTTTTTTATATTATCGTCGACTTTTATTGATGACTTTGAAAGAAGTTGGCAATAAGTTGCTCCTCCTGGTTTTCTTTTTTTGCCCATGCCAAATAAAAAAGGGCAGCTCCCAAGTTGCAACTTGCAACAGATAAGCGCAACGGCAAATAAATCACTTGGGTTTCATATTCATGAAGTTCATTATAAATCGCCGCATAAATTGCACCACTAAAAGCAATCGAAAATGTGGATTATTATTCAGAGTTGGTTTCCAACGTTTTTCAACGTGGCGTTGACAACAAATTTGAATTTAAAATTAGTTTTGGTTGATTTTTTTTAGCACGTTGTTCCGACAACATTTTTATTCAGTTTTTCGGTGACTGAGTTTTTATTGTTTTGTTGTTCTTTTCATTGTTTATTGCAACTTGATTGCCGCATGACGTCACTAGTCAAGTTCAAGTTTGAAGCGTTAATTTATGTAGCACAACAAAAATAAAAATACGAATAAAGAATATAATGCGAAATAAATAAACACCAAACTGAGCCTATTTGTAGGCCGCATTTCCTACAAATTGCTTTATTAATTTGCAATGTACGCCAGTTAAGCACATTTGAGTAACTGACTCAAGTATGTGTTTAATTTATACTTTTTTTATTTACCCTGACGGCCTTTTAGGTTCTAACTAGTTTTATTTGCGTTTAAAACAGATCTTTAACCTTAGTTTAACATATGTGATACATTTTGGGTTCAATGTGTGCTAGGAAAATGGACAAAAAATAAACAGGAATGGAGTATATATATTTATGCAGTTCTTGGGAGCTGGGTTATTTAACTGTCCCAGCAAGAAAAACTGTCCCAAAAAGAAAGATCTGGAATCGAATTCTAAAAGTTAACTTGATAGTTTTTGAATAAATCAATGATAATAATAATAATAATATCAATAAAACTACGTCACGTGCGTTTGTTTTAATTTTAACAAACTAGTTTTTAAATAACATTGAAAAAACTTGGTAATAACTGGGAGTACAATATATATTATATGCATAGAAGTCAGAATTAGTTGAGACGCACAATAGTCCGGCTTTGCCCGGGCTTAGTCCCTTTACTTCAAATTTGAACTACGTTTTCCACCCATTTTGCGTCCAAAAAGTCCAAATTTAAAATATTACAACTAATATTTTAAACACGACAAGAACAATTGTTAATACAATTTATTTTGCTTTAGCGGATTCGCAAACGTATTTGAGCTTCCCTTTACTTGCTTGTGAATTTATCCTTTCTTTCGTTCATTAAAATTCTCTAAAGTGTCGTGCAATTGACATTAAATTGGGTAATAAAAATAAATATTCGTGAGTTGGTCAACAAGACTTCAAAAAGGCAGCCGCGTTCTTATCTTTTGGTTTGGTTTACTTTAAATTTTGCTGCGAATTTTTTACTTTTTGCATTTTGCATGCCAAAACATTGTCGCATACGTAATTCCCTTGGTTTTCTGTTGCTGTTTTCAGTTACATTTCCATACGTTGCACACACACAGACAGACACAAACACATCATTTACAAAATTCAACAACGGTCTTCCATAAAGAGCCCAGTCAGACCGGACAGCCTCGTGTATGTGTGCTAATTAATATTACGTGCCTCGTCTCCGCTTTGTATAGTATCTCATGTATTTCGTCGTCTGTCGAGATAAAAGCAGTATGAAGCGTGCCCTGAATATGAATCGGAAGAGGCCAGTGAGTCGCTGTGTATGTTTAGGGCCAAACAATAAACAAGGCCAATTTGGGGCAAGCCCGAAGAAATGCATCAAATTTATTGAAAATTATGTGAGAGAACAGGAAGTGGCCATAGGAACTCAAAAGCTATTCGTATAAGAAACTACTCTACTGAAACGGACACGAAAAAGTTCTTGACTTGCTTTTAAATGTCAATTCATTGTGTGCAAGTGCAGTCAAGTGTGAATTATATTGGGCTGGGCCGTAATAAAGAGGGAGTTATAGGTTATAGCTATCGAAAGGGTCGAAGTCTCAAGGCAGAAGTTAATGTTGCGTTGTCTGTCTTACCTTCCCATAGATACTTAGCTATTTTAAGGGCGTTTCCCAGGGACAGTTGGCTTAGGCAGCATATCGCAACATTAAAATATATTTGCTTTTTAATGGTGGATTTTTGTTTAGCTTCCGGGTAGAGAATGATGAGAAAATATGCGCATATTAGTGTGACGAAATTAACGCGCTTGGGCAATCGATTGAAAACTAATTAAAGTTTACTAAAAAAATATGGAAAATGTAGACTTACACGCCTTTTAAATAAATAGTTTTCATGACAGCCATATAACAAATTAGTGCTCATATAATTAACAACCAAATATAATAAGCTCAAATTTCACAATTTAGTAAAACAGAAAATCAAATAAATTTTCCACAAATTTTTAGGAAAGTTTTCAAATCGATAGCATCTAGCACTGTGGAGTACTTAACTTATATAAATATAAACGTTTTTTTTTTTACAGAATTTGTTGGTTTACTATTTAAGGATATTCGTTGCAAAGTCAAACATAACAGCAATAAAAATGTTTATATTTTCCATGAACAGAAACTCGCACGTTCTGTAATATTTAAAGCGCTAGTTTAAAGGCTATTGGAATAGGGTAATGCTTCAGCACGATGTCTATTTTGAAACAGATAAATCACTTTTTATGAGCAAAAAAGCAACATGCAAACTAACATGCAATATCAGCAGCCTTTGATCTGCAACCACCTCAACTGATCTCTGACCCGTTTGTATTTTTCTGCTTTTAGTTTTTATTTTATGCACGTTAGAGATTTTGATGTTTGCAACACGCAAATGACTTGAGCTGAAACAACTTGTTTTATATTCTGTAATTAATATTTTACTTATTTTTATTATATTTTGACATTTACGATCTGGCGAGCGATTGCTACAAGTTTTTCGAATGCAAAATTGCGTCATAGAATCAGGAGACCCGGTCCGAGCATTGCTCAATGCCAAAGCATAAAATTTGGCAATGAAAATGTCAATGGCAACAATAACAATTATTGAAAAGTGAAATGCGTTGGCGATTCGCATAGAACGAAGGCGAACCGGGCAACAGTAACAATCGGAGCCAAAGTGGAGCTGGTTGCTAGCCTGAAACCTCATCATCCCGTGTTCCTGTTTCAGTTGTAGTCTCCACTTGGTTACGATCTTGATCTGGCCCGTAACAAACGCCGCCATTCACCGCCAGTCACACAGATAGCTTGTTAAATGAAACCCCCCAACCCCCGTAACAAATGCCACTGCTCACCTCCGATGACTCCAACTTTCCGGCCTGTAGCTGCTCAAATACAATTTCATGTGCAATCAAAATGAAAATAAAGCAAAGACGAAGCGAGCCAAGCAAATTGATTTATCGGCACGCGGCAACTCGAATTGTTATGGGTTTTGATTGTCTGCTCCCTGCTACGCGCCCCTCCGTCTATGCCTCTGGCTCCTACTAATGCATGGAGCACCCCCCTCGATTGCACTGATTGAGTTAAATGAAATTTTTAACGATGGCGCAACATTTAAACGTAAATTTATTTTTGTCGCCCGTCTCGAGTTAAAGTTGAATGCTTTAATTGGTTGGCGTTGGCAAGCGCCTTATAGCATAATTGATCTTAATTTCGATTTCATTTGCAATTGCCTTTAAGTGACTAATTTGATTGGTAAATAAAATTCAAATCGTAATCGTTAACAAAAGAGAGCAGCGCTAGTTGTGTGTGGGCCGCACATTCTCTTATTGTTGGATTATGCAATTTAGCTGATGAACCCGAGACGACAACAAGGTCGTCTTGGATTACGTTCAGTCTACAGTTTGTTGCTGTGGCCGAGTCTGGTGTATGGAGTGCGGAGTGTCCAATGTCCACTGGCCAAGTGGCAACTGCTTGAGTTCAAGTCACGCCGGCGACAATAATTGTGCCCCCTGGCACCAGGCACCCGGCACCAGACACCAGCACAAATCGCAGACATGTGCAATATATATTGAGAGTCGTTCAGTTGTTGTATCTGCGAGCCGTTTGGTAATGGGTATTAGCCAAAATACTTTTTTCCGCTTGACCTCGTAAAATGGCAAAAGTTAATTAAGCTAGGTGACATGTGTTTTGCTTTTAAATTTAATTTAACTTTGTCATTAGGAACTTACAATTATAGTTTTTAACTCACGTTTTATTGATTTTAGTATAATAA